GTCCTCCACAAATGTCTGTGACATCATCTGTCACACTGGGGCATTCGATATGTATTTGTTGAATGAATGGGGGGAAAAATGAAATGTCATCGAATAGTCTATAAAGGAACAAAGCTATTACTAAAATAGACTCCACCCCTGAGCCCCTGTGTTGATTTTATGAAAAAGCAAAGATGGTTTTAAGACAACCTTTGTGAAAGCACTCAATGATGCCTGTCAGCTGTCCTTACCCAGCGGTTGGACTATTTGGTGGTTGGACTATTTGGTGGCAGAATCATGCAACTGATCAATAGCATTGTTTATTGTCTAGCAGAGGCTTTTGAAAACCCATCCCTTCACATATTGATCTATTTTTGTGTGTATGCTGAAAACATTTAACATCTACTTTTTTAGTAATTTTGAAATGGCCAGTGCCTTATTGTTTATTGTAGTAACCATTCTGTACAAGAGATCACTAAGACATACTTTTCCTGTCTAACTGAAATCTTGTTCACTTTGATCAACATCTCTCCACCAAGTAAGAGGCAGCCAGAGTTTGGCATATAGTTGTCAAAGTATAGTCTTCAAAGAGTTAAAAACATGACTCATACGCAAAAAAAAAAAAAGAGAAAAGTTGAAGAACACAGGTGAACACATTTATTTACCCCATTAGCGAGGGAACAGCAGGATGGTAGAGCTGAAACATTTATGATCACTGAATTAAGATGGCAACATGAGATATGAAGCCGCTTAATGCTATACAGGGCAATACAACTGCAATCCTTGGGGATCCTCTTTTCTATCGGATAAAAGCAGTTTGCAGCATATCCAAGTGTAAGTTAATGTCTGACTTCCCAGCATCTAGATACTAATCTAAATAGTAAAATCAATCACTAGAATGGGGATTGGTAAACTATCCGGCCCACCATCTGTTTTTATAAATAAAGTTTTATTGGACACAGCTGAGCCCATTCATATACATATGTCTGTGGCTGCTCTTGCGGCATAATGGTAGAGTTGAGTCATTTCAGCAGACACTGCGTGGCCTGCAAAACCTCAGATATTTGCGTGTGGCCCTTTACAGAAAAAGCTCAACAACCCATGCGCTGGAGAATTCAGCAATCCTCACATGGGCCTTTTAGACAGAGCTCCAGGATAAAATCAAAACGTCTCGCAGTCAGCCTCTGGTCTTCTTGGCAATTGTTGGATAATTTTGCTTAGCATTGTCTAGGCCGGAAGGGTTATATGTTTGAGAAGTTTTTGTTAGGCCTTTGATGACGCCTCTTTTGAGTGAAAAGACTGACCCTGTGATGCAGCCCCACCTCGGGAAACGGGCCCCTTCCCGTTCTTGCAGGTGCTCTTGCCAGAGAGCGTGGGAGTTTGTGGACCTCGGGGCATTGTTGTCTGCCTTATATATTGCTTCCTGCCATTGAGTTCCAGCCACCAGGTTCCCACAGACAGATCAGTATAAGTGATGATGATGATGATGATGATGATGATAACAATCCCCCCCCCTGTAGCTAACTTCTATCAAGCTTTAAAATATGTCCGTCAAAGAATCTGATGTTTTATAACCACGTCACCCTGCTTAGTTCTTGCAACAGCCTTAAGAAGGGGGGTGAGAGGTTCCCATTTTACAGATCAGAAAACTGAGGCCACCATGGGGTCTTCAAAAGAAATCTTGATGGTGCACCAGCTGGGCGGTGCTGGACACTGTGTCACCAACGCTGAATGCACGTCACCCCTCCTCCCTGTCTGCGTGAATTCTGTCCACTGCCAGGGTTTCTCTTCCAACCCAGGAAGGCCAGGCTCGGGGCCAAAAGATGAAGATTCCAGTCTTGGCCCTTTGGTGTCTCAGCTAGGTAGTTCTTTCTTGCCTCTGTGAGATGCAGCAAAGGTTTCTTACCCTCTGCCCCACCGGGGTCTTTGTTAGATTTAAGTTAAGAATCTAATGAGTGGTATATAAACCCACAAAATCCCAAACACAGACATCGGTGGGTTCCCTGCCCCCACCCTGCTCCTATTAGAGTTTTTTTTTTTTAATTCTTTTTGGATCTATGTAAAAAAAAATGAGAATATTCACCTGCGTGTGTATACTGCAGATTTTGCAGGGAGTTTGTGGAGCTCCTGTGACCAGAAGTTCTTGAATGAGTTCTTGAGCCACTGACTGAAAGTGGGGACTTGGGACAGCTCCAGAGTCTTGCCTTTTTCCTTCCCTCTCTCTAAATGGACATGTGTCTGCTAAACTCCTACTGGGGCCGGGCTCTGTGTGAGGGCCTGTGTGCTGTGAATGGAGCAGACAGGGCCCTGTCCCCAAGGACTCCCATCTAGACAGTCAGTCAACAAGCAGCCAAGATAATTTTCCCAGAGCGATAAGCTCTGTAAGGAAAAGCCAGTAAGACAACGTGTTAGAACATGGGTCGACAAGGATGAGCAACTTCTGCTGGGGAGGTCAGGGAAGGTCTTTGGAAGGAGTTTAGCACTGGAGGATAAGAAGGAGCCAATCGTGAGGGGAGGAGGGGTGCTCTAGCCAGCCAGAACAGGGCAAGCAAAGGTCCTGAGGTAGGAAAGCCTGGGAGAGAGTGTGGAGGGTGCAAAGAGGAGGCCACTGTGACTGCTTCCTGGGGCTAGAAGAGGGCTTGGTGAGACCAGCGGGATTAGACCCTACTGGGCCCAGAGGCCTTGGCAAGGAGTGCATTTTCATTCTGCAAGCTCCAACTGTCCAATATAGGAGACAGTAGCCACCTGTGGCTATTCGAAATGGAAATTCACATGTCCTATGCACGTAACAAAATATCACATGTACCCTGTAAGTATGTAAAATATTACATATTGATAAAGTATTTTTTTAAAAAAAAAAATTGAAATAGATTTTTAAACAAATTCGGATGAAATGCAGTTAAACGTTTTGCTCCTCAGTGTGTGTTGAAGGCCTTGTATGCTATCGGTGGGAATGCAAAATGGTGCAGCTTCTGTGGACAGCGGTATGGTGGTTCATCAAAAAATTAAAGACAGAATGACCATGTGATCTAACAATTCCGGTTCTGAGTCTATACCCAAAAGATTGGAAATCAGGGACTTGGAGAGATATTTGTATGCCCCTGTTAATAGCAGCGTTGTTTACAATACTCAAAAGGTGAAAGCAGCCCCAGTGGCTATCCACAAATGAATGGATTCATGGAAGGAAACTCTGACATAGGCTATAACCTGGACGAACCTTGTAGACCTTATGCTCAAAGAAATAAATCAGTCATGACAGGACACAAAGTTCACTCACAGGAGGTCCCTAGAGTCGTCAGATCCACAGAGACAGGAAGTGGGTGCCAGGGGCTGGGGAGAGGGGTGGGGAGTGAGTGTTTCATGGGGACAGAGCTTCAGTCTGGGAAGATGAGGAAGTTCCGGAGGTGGGGGGGTGGTGATAGTTGCACGACAGTGAGAATGTGCTTAATGCTGCTGAACTGTGCACTTAAAAAATGGTTAAGACAGTGGATTTTATGCTGTGTGTATTTCACTACAATTAAAAAAAAAATTAGTTTCTCAGTGCCACTAACCACATTCAATAGCCGCGGAGGAGAAGTGGCTACCGTGTTGGACAGCCACAAATAAAGAACACTTGTGTCATTGCAGAAAGTTCGAACCCGACAGTGCCGTTCATATGCAGATGTGGCTTCTTGGGGCCACTTCTGTCCCCTGGGTCTGGCCGGCGGGATCCACTGGGTGCCGGGAAGGCAGTCACAGAGCCTGAGGATGTAGGGTGACGAATGAACACTTCCCGGCTTCCAAACCACATTTCAAACCATTCGAGGAGTGAGGGAAGGGAAGCTGTTTATATAGCCAGGGGCTGTCTAGCCTTGGAGAACTGTCCATGGATGTTTGGGGACAGCCCAAGAAAGGAGGACACAGTCCAGATGCCCAGGGGGGACCCAAATCAAGATGTATTAATAATTAGGAAGAGATGAGTAGCAAGGCCTCAGGGAGCAAAGTCCAGCTACAGTGGACACATTCGGTCACATTGAAGGAGAAAGTCCCTCCCGCCACAAGCTCTGTCCACTGGTGGTGCCCTCACTTGGAGAGCCTTCTCCTTCCTTCCCCTTCCTTATCTACTTTTCATCCTTCACGCTGCAGCAGGAATGTCACCTCCCCTTACACCTCGGCAAAGTGCTCGTGCAATTACATGTTTCCGTGTTTAAATGACGAGCATGCCTCCTGCGTTAGACTCTATTCTCCCAAAGGCAGGGTCTGCGGCCACCTTTTCTTCCCACAGTGGCTGCGGAATCTCGACTAGTGCAAGCCAGTACCTGTTGAGGCAATGGATGGCTTTGGGGCAACTTACATAACCTCCCTGTGCCTTGGTTTCTCCATTTGTAAAATGAAAAAAAAAACAAAAAAAACGGAGATGACAACATACCTCCTTTACAGTTGGGGAGCAGGCTGGTAGGAACCGATTGTGAAATTTTCAGGAAATTTGCAAGCTACTTGTTAAACACAAAAATACTCTTAAAAATTGAATGATACAAACTGCCATGAAACGAATTATGTTACAAAGGTAATAAATCCACAAAACTCACCACTTGCTACATTTTTTCCTACTATTTGTGCTCTTGAGGCTAGATACTACTTTTCCATCTGTTGTAGATACAATTGTATCCACTGTTGGAAACACTATTTAGTGGGGTGCTACTGTGTATCTCTTGCCAGCTCTGTGTTTAGTGACTTCATGTTGGGAGACTGAAATGGACCAGGGCAGGAGAATTTGCACCGTGGAAATTGGCAAATGCTATACAAGTCAGAGCCTCTCTGTCACCCTCCTTCCGGCAGTTGCTAAAACGTTTAGGAACACACCACTGGTTTAGGGACTTAAATGAGTTAATAGATGTGTATGGCGCGTGCAAAGCGATGTAAAAGTGCACCTGTTATCGTCATTATTTTGCCTGGCTTCTTCTCCCTCATCCAGAAGTGTTGCATGTGCAGACAGGAATCGGGCAAAGCCATCAACAGCTATGTTTTCTTTCTCTCTCCAGTTTGCCCAACCATCTGTAAGTCACACGGCTGCACCGCCGAAGGCCTTTGCTGTCACAGCGAGTGCCTGGGCAACTGTTCCGAGCCCGACGACCCCACCAAGTGTGTGGCCTGCCGCAACTTCTACCTGGAGGGCAGGTGCGTGGAGACCTGCCCACCCCCCTACTACCACTTCCAGGACTGGCGCTGTGTGAACTTCAGCTTCTGCCAGGACCTGCACAACAAATGCAAGAACTCGCGGAGGCAGGGCTGCCACCAGTATGTCATTCACAACAACAAGTGCATTCCGGAGTGCCCCTCTGGATACACGATGAATTCCAGCAAGTGAGTCCTGGGTGTGGGTCTTGTGAGGGGGGTGGGCAGGGAGGCAGCAAAGAGGAGGGGGAATGTGGGGTTGGTGATGGCAATGTTGCCTGTTAAAACTGTGTGCAAAAAACAGAGTTAATTGGCTATGAGCGAGCTTGCTAGAGGTCTCAGATGCTATTTTTGCCCCTTGTTTTGGTCCTGGGCTCTGGAGCAGGGGTCAATAACCTTTTTCTCTACAGGGTTAGATAGTAAATATTTCTGACATCTTGTACACCAGTGCTAAGCTTTCCCTGCTCAGCTTCAGAACAACAACAACAAAAACAAAAAAAAAAAAAAAAAAAAAAAACCATAAAAGAAGTCATTGGTTTCCCCTGAAATCGTCCTTGTGGCCTGTCCTCAGTGATGTAGCTGCATCCTTATAACAAGAATGTAGCTGAGGTTTTTCACGTCTTCCCCGATCTATAGCTGGGTGGTGTTCCCAGATTAGCCCGGAACATAGTGACTCAAGGAGGAAGAGACACTCTGCTCCATAATTTCCAGGCCTTTGCTGTTCTCTGAAGGGTAGTGCAGTCAAACCATTTCCCACCATCTGGGTGAGAAATAGCAGAGCTTTCTCTCTTTGGCGATGAGTCAGGTTTCCTACGCACATCGCAGACTTTTTGTTCATGTTGTCAGCTTCTTAGATGAGCTATTTTGGTGTCTCGGGGCCGTAACCGAGTCTAAAAAATCTGTTTCCTGCTTTTTGTGTTGAGGTTAAAAGAAAAAAGAAAAAGAAAAAAAAAACACACCGCAAAACAACACAAAAACAAATCAGAAACAGACACACGCAGAGGTCAGCCTTGAGCTGACCTGCTTACGTAAAAAATCTTCCTCTTCAGACTTGAGAATTAGCCAAGCGAGCATGTTCTGGTGGGAAATTATATTTCCCTGGGTGGGAAGGAAAAACAATCTTTAATTTCAGTTCTTAGGAGGTTCTCTTCTCATGTTTGTGCAATCTGTAAGTACAATATGTTTTGTTTTACTTGTTTTTGATAAAAACCTATCAAGTGGCTTTGTTGGCCCCAAATAATCCTCTATAAAATCACCTTTGCACGCCAGACAGAAATTTTTTTTTTTTGAAGGGGGAGTGGCACCAGTTTATTAGTAAGGTTAGGAAAATGATCATATTCCTTTTGATTCATTTCTCCTTCCCCCCTCCCCACATTTGAAATAAAGAGTGAGTATTATGGTCTCCCGGTGAGATGTTTGTTTGAGAGATATTGGCCTTAAATGAAAGGCCATTTTCCCCTTGTCCTGACAAAGGCCTGAGAAATATCATAACCTCCTTTGATATTCTTGCTTATGGTATAATCGACCCTAGAACAACAACAGCAACAACAAAACAAAACAAAAAAAAAACCCTAAGGAATCACCAGCACACCTTTTGATGCCTGGGACCTTTATTAAAAGGAAGAAAAAACAAAGTGGGAGATGCTAGCAATGACGTATCATGGCAGTGTTTTACTTTGTAGGTTTTTTTTAAATAATGTAAAATTTTTGCTTCCAAGGCTTTCTTCTTTTGTCTTCTGAAAGACTGTATAGTCCTGTCGCATTTTGCTAATGTGGTTTGATATCAAATAAGGCCAGATATGTTTTCTTCCATTCCGGTTGCTTATCTGGGACACAGTTCTTGCTGTTTTCAGGGCAGAGTTCTGGGAACCCATGTGGCTTCATTAAAAGGTCCCGCTGTCTGTCGTCTGTCTCCCGGCGTCCCAGGGTAACCGATGAGAACGGTGGGGTGTCCTTTCCTGGGAAGTGGAGGACCAGATATTTGGGGTGAATGCTGAATTTTTGATGAGTGTGAGGGGTCCATTGGGAAGGAGGGGGAAATCTCCAAAATCTTTGACTCCTTTCTTGCCTTCCTCTTATGGCCAAAAGCTCGGCACCTGTCCCTGCAGCCAGATCATCAGAAGAATGAGAACAAGTGGTTTGAGGAGGAGGAAAGAGAAGTTTATTACTTTGCCAGCAAAGGAGGAAAAACGGTAGACTCTCATCTCGAAATCCAAATTTCCTGAACATAAGCAGAAATAGAGAGCTTTGAAAGGGAGGGCCCTCAGTTCTAGGCTACTGTGTTAATTCCATCTTGGCCTAAGACAAAGCCTGTGACCTCCCCCATTGGGAGGCTGGTGCCAGGCCTGGGATGGCTGAGCTATCTCCTTTAACACAAAGAACAGAACACATTACCTGCCCCTCCCAGGGTTTTTTTGTTTTTTTTGTTTTTTTTTTTTTTTTTTTTTTGAAACTCTGTTGCCCAGGCTGGAGTGCAGTGGCATCATCATAGCTCACTGCAGCCTCCAACTCCTGAGCTCAAGTGATCCTCCTGCCTCAGCCTCCCAAATAGCTAGGACTACAGGTGCACATCATGAAGTCCAGCTCATTTTTAAATTTTTCGTAGAGATGGGGTCTTGCTTTGTTGTCTAGGCTGGTCTCGAGCTCCTGAACTCAGGCAATCCTCCTGCCTCAGCCTCCCAGAGTGCTAGGATTACAGGTGTGAGCCACCTCACCTGGCCTAGCTGATATTTTTATTGTCACCTTATGTATTCACCCCAACCAGATTATAAGCTTCCCAAGTGTATCAGTTAGCTCCTGCTGTGTAACAGAATCACCCCAGTGCTTAGTGGCTTAAAACACACATTCATGAGTTTTGATGATTTTGTGGATTGACTGGTGGTTTGTCTGGTCAGGGCTGGCTTAGCTATGGCTGATAGTTTAGGATAACCTCTCATGCCTTAGACGGCCAGCTAGGCCTCTCTCATGAGGTCTCTCATCCCAGCAGCCAGGAAGGGCAGTCCTCAATGTGCAAAAATGCTTGTTAAGCCTCAACTTGCATCGCATTGGCTAATATCCCATTGGCCAAAATGAGTTATATGGCCAACCCTAGCTCCAGCAGGTGGAGAAATGAACTCCCTTTTTGGTAATAGAAGCTGCAAAAAAAAAAACTTGTGGCCATTTCTGATTTCTCACTGGGAAAGTAGATTATCTGTTTTGTTCACGAGTGTGTACCTGCAACTGACAACAGGAGCTGGCAAAGGGCCAGAGAGTAAATATTTCCAGCTCTGAAGGCCATATGGTCTCTGTTACAGCTACTCCACTCTGCCTTTGTAGTGTGAAACCCAGCTTAGGTGATACAGTAACCAGTGGATGTGGTCGTGTTCCAATATAACATTATTTGCAAAAAAAAAAAAAAAACAAAAAAAACAGGTGGCCAGCTGGATTTGGCCCATGGGCTGTGGTTTGCCAACCCCTGCCTTAGATTGTCACCTGCCACATAAGTGCTGAGCCAATAAAAGAACCCAAACATTTGGTCCCTCTTTCGTTTCCACCCCCAGCTGTTCTGCCCCTAACTGTGTGGGGTGCAGCACCATTCTGACAATAACCACCTGGAGCAGGCTTTAAACTCTGAGAGTTCAAGGCTCAGGCCCCAAAAGACTTGCCGAACTTCGGACACCAGCTGCACTCCGGGGATTCCCTGGCCACTTCCGACCCACTGGCTATAGATTTGGGGGTTCCCGCAAAACCCTTTGGGTTTGATAATTAACTAGAACGACTCACAGAGCTGCAATAAACCTGCCATAGTTATAGTTATAGTTTTATTATGCAAGATACACATGGGGTAAGGTCTGGGAGAGCCCTAGACACCGAGCTTCCATATTCTGTCCCTGTGGAATCAGGGTATATCACCCTTGGGCATGCGATGTGTTAGCCAGTGGGGAAGGAGAGGAGAGGAGAGGAGAGGAGAGGAGAGGAGAGGAGAGGAGAGGAGAGGAGAGGAGAGGAGAGGAGAGGAGAGGAGAGGAGAGGAGAGGAGAGGAGAGGTTGCACACCACTGAGCTTCAGTGTGCAACGTTTTTATTGGGGTCTCCTTCTTTAGGCATGATTGTTTGAGTCATTGGCCATGCGATTGCCCCAGCCAGCCCCCATCCCCTCCCTGGGGGTCAGGTGGCTGGCAGCCCCAATCCTGTCATCCCATGGTTGGACTTTCTGGTGATCAACTCCCATCCTAAAGTGTCTGAGGGCCCACCACAAGTCACCTCAACATTCCTATCACTCCTAACATAGGCATGCCTCTCTCTCAGAAATTTCGGAGGGTTTTGGAAGCTTTATGCCAAGAACTGGGATAAAGACCAGATGCATTCTTTACTGTACTGTGATTCCAAAAAATCATTCTGAAGAATTGGATACATGGGGGTGTATGCAAATGACAACAGTAGCAACAGCGACACCACTCATAAAAATGGTCATAGCAAGGAATAGCATTTGTTTTCTATGTGCTTTATGTGGTGCGTGTCATCAGTCTTGGTCACAACCTGTGAGCTTGGTAGTGTCATTATCTCCATTTTGCAGATGAGGAAACCAAGACTGTCACAGTTGGGAATCTTGTGGTTTCATGTGGCAGAACCCCAACTCAAACTGGCTTAAGTAAGATTAAAGGAGTTTAGTGGTGCCCACAACCAAAAAGTTGAGGGGACTGCTTCAGGTATGGCTGTATCCAGGAGCTCTTGTAATGTGCATGATTGGTCTCTTTCCATCCTTTGGCTTTATTTTGCTTCTCTGTTGGTTTTAGTCTCAGGCAGGTTCCCCCTCACCCCTCACCCTCACCCCATGCCAGCAAGATGGCAACACTCTCCCATATACTCTGGAAGGAAGACAATTTCTCCTTCTAGGAGATTGTCACACAAAACCCTCATTGCACTGACTTGGGTTGCGTAGCTGCCTCCGAACCCTCAGAAAGGGATAGAAGATGCCGCTCAGTGTGGCTTGGATCCTGTGCCCCGGCTGGGCCTAGAAGGGCTCTGCCAGCTGAGAACTGACCTCAGGGACCCACGTGGGGGAGCGCTGGCTCCCAAATTCACAGGAGGTTGTTGTGAATTTGAGGACATCAGGCTGTACGCGAGCAAAGCCAAAAGCTGCCCAGGCCACCTGCCTGTCAAATGTGGGGTCACGTTGCAGCAAAGCCCGCTCAGAACGACAAACGTCCTGTCTCCTTGGGGCAGAGGGCTAAATCCGCCACATCGAGCTAGCAGCGTCCATTCGGCCACTTTGGCATCCGTGGTGTGAGTCCCATGTCGGGCTCGCCGTCTCAATGTCACGGCACAATTCCCATCGCCGTGGTAACAGTGCGGGTCCCATCGCTTCGGTGTAATGCACAGGGCAGACCGTGGTCCTGTCCCCGTGGGGTGCGGTGTGGGTCCCCTCACCTTGGGGTACAGCAGGCGTCTTGTCCTGTCACTTCGGGGTGCGGTGTGAGGACCTGCACCGTGGAGTGACAGCGTAAGTCGGTCTCTCGAGTTGGGCTCTTCTCTGTGGTTGCTTTTCTGCCTTCCCTCCCCAGGGGCTCGCGGCCATGTCCAGGGACATTTCGGGTTGTCACAGCTTGGGAGAAGGGGTGCCACTGGCATCTAATGGGTGGAGCCTGGGAATTGGGCTCAGCATCCCGCAATGCACAGGATGACCCACCTCCTACCCCCACCCCCCAGCGGGGAATTATGTGGCCCCGAATGTCAACAGTGCTGAGGCCGGGAAACCCTTGCTCAGTCAGGATAGCAGCACAAATCCGTCACTTGGGACCCCACGTAGTGACGTCGTGTGCTGTCTGCCTCGGGGGGAGGGCCCCTGTGTGCCCTGACCCCTCACCGTCTCTCTCTGTCTTTGCTCGTCCTCAGCTTGGTGTGCACACCGTGCCTGGGCCCCTGTCCCAAGGTCTGCCACATTCTGGAAGGCGAGAAGACCATCGACTCGGTGACATCCGCGCAGGAGCTCCGAGGATGCACCGTGGTCAACGGGAGTCTTATCATCAACATCCGAGGGGGCAGTGAGTGCTCTGGGTTGGGGGGAGGGCGTCCTGCCAGGTGCCGTGTCCCCGTGAGCTGTGACCTCAGCCCAGGCTCTAGCCCATCACTCAGCGGCTCTCCCATTGGTACTGACTCTCATTTTCCAAGTGGGAATTAGGGGGCATTAGCAATCTGCACTTTTTTTGTTGTTTTTTTTTGTGAGATAGGATCTCACTCTGTCACCCAGGCTGCTTGAGTGCCATGGTGTCATCACAGCTCACTGCAGCCTCCAACTCCTGGGCTTAAGCGATCCTCTTGCCTCAGCCTCTGAGTAGCTGGGACTACAGGTGCACACCACCACGCCTGGCTAAGTTTTTAATTTTTTTTGCTAGAGACAGAGAGGGTCTCACCGTGTTTCCCAGGCTGACCTCCAACTCCTGGCCTCAAGCGATCTCCCGCCTCAGCCTCCCAAACTGCTGGGATCGCAGGCATGAGCCACCACACACTTGGCCGGCATTTTTAACGATCAGGCAACATGCCCATAGCAGGTCTGCAGACCATGTTTCTGGAAATACCAACTCAGGCAAAAAAGGCGTTCCTTTGTTTATTTATTTGGTAAACATTTATTGAATACTCTCAGTGAACAAGGCAAAGTCCTCTCCATGATGGATCTTGCAAAAAACCCCAAATCAATGCATGACGTAAGGTAGAAAAAGCTCATCGGAGGAATGGGGGGAGGGGAAAGCAGCAACGTTTTTCTGTAATGGGTCATGGAAGGAATAGATTCAGCTTTGCAGGCTGGACAATCTCCGTCGTAACTAATTGGCTCTGCTGTTGTCGTATGAAAACGGCCATAGACAAGTGTCAGCCAAGGGGTGTGGCTCCATTCCAATAAAACTTTATTGACAAAACAAGTGGGATGTGGCCACTGGGCTGCAGTTGCCCAACCTCTGCAACACAGAACAAAAGGGGTTGCTGTTTTAGAGATGTTTCTGTGCGTGGGGAAGGCTGGTTTGAGATAGTGATGGAATAAGCCAAGGAAATATACGGAGGAATAATATTCTGGGCAAACGAGGCAGCCAGTGCAAAGGTCCTGAGGCAGGTGTCTGCTTGGCGTGTTTAAAGAGTGGTAAAGAGCTCAGATTGTGTTCTCAGCACGAAGGGTTTTGAGCAGAGTATGTTGAAATCGTCCACAGTCTATAGAGGTCACGTCCTCACCACGGAAAATGACGGGAAGAATAAAATATTCCTGTAGGAACTCACTGCATGTTCTCTCCTTTCCTTAGACAACCTAGCAGCTGAACTAGAAGCCAACCTCGGCCTCATTGAAGAAATTTCAGGGTATCTAAAAATCCGTCGCTCCTACGCATTGGTGTCGCTTTCCTTCTTCCGGAAGTTGCATCTGATTCGAGGAGAGACCTTGGAAATGGGGTACGTGAGCCCAGTTCTGTGTGTGGGGCCCAAGGGCTACATAGGAAGTTTGCGAATTAGAAAAACTTGGGTTTTGTTATATTTTTTTTCTTTTTAACAAACAACAAAAAAAACATCATTAGGAGAAAGTTCCCGGCAAAACCTTGGGAGAGAGACGAACTGTGTTGGAATGTGCGCTTAATGGTCTATCCAGCCAAAAAAAAAAAAGAAACCCATAAGAGCTGTGCTGTGGTCATTCTTGAGAAACCAAGGAGGGAACAGCCCAAATTTTGTGCCCAACCTCTGAGGGTCCCGGCTGGAATTTGCTCAGTGGGGCGTCCTGCCATCGGGGCTGCGTCGTGAGGGGCGAGGGGCATGTGGCACGTGTGAAATGGAGCTTCCCTCCTTCTTTCCGTTGTCTCTCCTCATTCCCTGGATCCCTTCCTCTCCAGGTCCCACTGACTCTGTTTCAGTCGGTAAAACCGCAGAAACGCAGACTAGCTGAGCTGGGCGCAGGACGGGAAGTCATGGGAATGTTTACCTTGTGCAAAAGTTTCTGAGGAAGGCCATTTGCGACACTGTCCAAGACCCAGGTTTAGGCCGGGCAGCCGGGTTGGCTATGCGCTGTAATCCTAAGCACTCTGGGACGGCGAGGCCGGGTGGGATTGCTAGTATTCAGGGAGTTCGAAACCTCGCCTCAGCAAGAGTGAGCCCTGTTCTTCCTACTATAAAGTAGAAATTAATTAATTGGCCAACTAATCATTATATTAGAAAAAATTTTAGCCGGGGCATTAGGTGGTGGCATGGCCTGTAGTCCCAGCTAACCTCGGCGAGGGGCTGAGGCAGAGCGAGAGGGATCATTTTGAGCCCAGGAGTTTGAGGGTTGCTGTGAGCTAGGGCTGGATGCACAACGGGCCACCTCACTCTAGCCTGGGCAAACCCAAAACAAGAACTCTGTCTCAAAAAAAAAAAAAGGGACCCAGGTTGTCTGTGCCGACTTGTGCTCTGCGCATGGTCGCAAGATGGGCTGCCTCCACCCCCGCCTCACAGCTGCGATATTGTTTTTTTTTTTCCCTTTTTCCTTTTTTTTTTTTATTTTTTTTGTGGTTTTGGTGGTGTGTTGGTTTATTTATAGTGTTTGTGATTAATTAAATTTAGTGTATGTGTAAGATGTTACTCAAAGGTGTTGTGTTTTGTAGGTGGGGGGTGGATACCATGGTAGTGGCTATCTGTGTTGGATCACACCACAGGTCTAGATTCTTCCCTTTCCCATTCGTTATGGTGCGGTGGCTCACTGTTCTCTAAAGCACAGGTCAAACCAAGGTCACTGAGCTGACATATAAAACTTTCCAGTGCTTCCTTCTGGCCTACAAGGAGACAGGTACCTCGTTCCTGGCTTTGGTCTTGGCATGCAGTACACTGGAGGGTGTGGTCCATTGGAGTTCCTTCTGAACTACTTCCTGTCACCTGTCAACCGAAGCGGTTACTTTGCTCTATCCGTTGGGCTCGCGGCTTAGCGTGCCTCTGGTCTTTATCATCCCTTCTGCAAAAACCCGTTTCCCAATCCATCACAGTCTTACCACTGCCCTTCAACACTAGGCTCACTTCCCCAGCCATGAAAACTTCCCCAACTTCCCATCATCTCCATTCAACAAATATTTATTGAGTGTACACCAAGCAAGTGGTTAGGTCTGGGCATGTAGCCTGGGACAAGACTGACTCCAGGCATGTCCTTACCATCTTGGAGTTGGAGGGGACCAGCGGTTGGATGCTCAGGGGTGTGTGTGTGTGTGTGTCTGTTTCCGCAGGAGCTACTCCTTCTACGCTTTGGACAACCAGAACTTAAGGCAGCTCTGGGACTGGAGCAAACACAACCTCACCATCACTCAGGGCAAACTCTTCTTCCACTATAATCCCAAACTCTGTTTGTCAGAAATTCACAAGATGGAAGAAGTCTCAGGAACCAAAGGGCGCCAGGAGAGGAATGACATCGCCCTGAAGACCAACGGGGACCAGGCGTCCTGTAAGTGGTCCCGCCCCGGGGCTCCCGGTTTGGGCACCAGAAAACATAACCACCCTCCTTCATCCGCCCCGCTGGCCCCCAGGGGCACCTCACTGCCCCCTAGTGAGATACGATGACTCGTTGCGTGATAGGCTTTCGTATTGAGGACAGGTTTCGAAACATCTCATGGCTGTGTTTGTGGCACCAAATACAGTGCCTGATAGCAGAGGATGCCACGTGAACATGACATGAATGGATGAGTGAATGAATGATGCCTCCTTGTAGATGCTTCAGGCTCAGCGCTGAGGCCAAGGGCTTCAAAGTTGAGTAAATGTCTGTGTCAGCCTGTGTCTTCGGGAGAGCAAATGCCAAGTCGGAGGTAGAAATGCAAAAAAAGTGTATCGAGGGCCCGGTGCCTTGGCTCACGCCTGTAATCCCAGCACTCTGGGAGGCCGAGGCAGGAGGATCGCTTGAAGTCAGGGGTTCGAGACCAGCCTAAGCAACAGTGAGACCCCGTCTCTACTAAAAATAGAAAAATTAGCCAGGTGTAGTGGCGTGTGCCTGTGATTCCAGCTACTACTTAGGAGGCTGAGGCAGGTGGATCGCTTGAGCCCAGGAGTTGGAGGCTGCATTGAGCTATCATGACAACACTGCACTCTAGCCTGGGCGACAGAGCGAGACTCTGTCTTAAAAAATATATATATTGAGGGTAAAGCGCTAGAAAAGAGGGGGAGAGCCACCTGATAAGTGTGGGTCTGACCTCTATGAACAGAGAAGGAAAGAGGACAGGACAGCATTGCATCCATGAGCATCTTGGCCAAGCCCAGAGGGAGCTCAAGGCAACAGTTGTCCTGAATTGGGTAAGAACAGGCAGGCGCCCCCTCCAAGCTCAGTCATGGTTGGGGGCCGTCCAAGGAAAGCCAGGCTCTGGCTTGAAAGCTGTAGCAGGTCCTGCGGGTTGTGCAGCGGGAGACTGACTGTCTGCAGACTGCACTCGCCTGACACATCCTGGGCAGCGAGCTTCCAGGGGGGCTTCGGTGACACCCTTCCTTCCGGGAGGGGTGAGTTCCTCGTGGCAAAATGTAGTGCAAGGAGAGAGCGAGGTTGGGTGTATAGTTTCGGAGAGGGTTTGCATCCTAGGCAGAAGCAATGATTCCCATGTGTCTCTCTAAGCTGTCTAAACGCGTGCGGCCTGGGTTTACCTGCGCTGGGGTTGCGTCCTCTGCCGTATGAGCCCTGCACATAAGTCCCCGTGCAAGACACGGTTGTATCGGGAAGAACGTGACTCTTGCAAGTCCCTTCTGGTAACTCTTAGCCAGTTGTCCTCTCTGTGACTGTGAGTCCGGGCTCCTACCCCTGTGTGCATGACAGCCACCACGTCCAGAGAGAAGGTGTGGGAGCAAGGAAGGTGACTTTATTCAGAGAGTGGCGCGTGGTGTGAGCTCGGACTTGGTTTTGTCGTGTGGGCACAGACTGCTGTGACTCGGCTGAGTCCCTGGCAGGGTAACTGGCTTGCGTGTGCACGGCCAACGTGCACGGCTGGCTCCTGCACACTCAGAAAGACCAGACCCATGAAAGGAAGAGCAGACCGATCTCTCCCTCCCCGCAGCCCCTGAAGGAAGTACGGGAGCACGTGCTTTGGCCTGAAACTGACTACTCCATACTGATGGTGCCTGGGTCTTTTTTTTATTATTATTAACTTTTCTAGGTGAAAATGAATTACTTAAATTTTCTTACATTCGGACATCTTTTGACAAGATCTTGCTGAAATGGGAGCCATACTGGCCCCCCGACTTCCGAGACCTCCTGGGCTTCATGCTGTTCTACAAAGAGGCGTAAGTAGAGGAGGGAAGGGATGGGAAACGGTGTAGAGACGATGGCAGGATGGCGCGGCGCTTGCTGCACCTGCGCCTTCATCCCTGGGGCTCCTTTCTGTCTCCTTCCTGCTCCTACTTTCATACCCACCACGGGCTCCTTTTTACGATCTCGCCCGTTGATGGCGTGCACAGGCAGTGACGTCCCCTTTTGCTAAATGCCTGAAACGAGGCGGGGCGTGGTGGCACACACCTGTAGTCCCAGCTCCTTGGGAGGCTGAGGTGGGAGGATCATCCGAGCCCAGGAGTCGGAGGCTGTAGTGAGCTCTGATGATGCCGCTGCACTCCGGCCTGGGTGACAGAGTGAGACCCTGTCTCAAAAATAGGATGTAAGTTCCCCGGGGCCGACCGCACAGTGCTCCGGGTGATAGGCACATAAGGGTAACCACTGTCCCCTGCTGTGTCTTGAAAGCCCTTATCAGAACGTGACAGAGTTCGACGGGCAGGATGCGTGTGGCTCCAACAGCTGGACGGTGGTGGACGTTGACCCGCCCCTGAGGTCCAATGACCCCAAGTCACAGAACCACCCTGGCTGGCTGATGCGTGGTCTCAAGCCCTGGACTCAGTATGCCATCTTTGTCAAGACCTTGGTCACCTTCTCAGATGAACGCCGGACCTACGGGGCCAAGAGCGACATCATTTATGTCCAGACGAATGCCACCAGTGAGTGTGTCTTATGACTTTGAATTTTCAAGTTGTAAGAAAGGCTTCGTTGCATGGTTATTGGCTTTTAAAGGAGCTGGGTATTGGGGCCACGCACAGTGGCTCACGCCTGTAATCCCAGCACTCTGGGAGGCCGAGGCTCGAGGATCACTGGAGGTCAGGAGTTCGAGACCAGCCTGAGCAACAGTGAGACCTCATCTGTACCAAAAATAGAAAAATTAGCCAGGTGTGGTGGCTTGTGCCTGTAGTCCCAGTGACTCGGGAGGCTGAGACAGGAGGATCGCTCGAGCCCAGGAGTTGGAGGCTGCAGTGAGCTATGATGATGCCCACTGCACTCTAGCCCAGGGTGACAGAGTGAGACTCTTAAAAAAAAAACCCAAAAAACAAAAAACACACAAAAAATTAGCTGAGTATTGAGGCTTATATTTTCAGAAGACAAGGAAGTTCCCAATAAGGCACTTGAGGGGAATGTATATATTTTTCATCCTGTCATAGAAGAATTTTCAGATATTTCACAACATAGAAAGAACAAACCCATGCAGCCCCACCCAGTGTCAACCTTTGGCCGTTTTAGTTTCATCTCTACTCGTCTTCCGTCTTCCCACTTAGTGTCACTATCTTTTTGGGGGGCTGGAGTGTTTCATAGCAATTTAGTTATATTTTTATAAAACCTAAGTCTTCCTCCCACAGCAGTAGTTCTCAAATGGGGAGTGGAGTTGGCAATGACCAGGGACATTTTTGGTCACGGCTGGGGAGACGGGACTCCTGGCCTTTATGGGGGGGCACAGGACACCCCCCTTCCCATGACAAAGAATTGTCCAGCCCCGAACGTCAAGAGTGTTGAGGGTGAGAAACCCTGTCTTGCAGGACCGAGCCTAAACTTTACGAATCGGCCTTACCTCCTTCACCTGGTGCCCTCTTAGCAGCACCAGAAGATAATAGTACAGCTTCCAGAAACTTCCAGCCTCCAGGTCTTTGTACCTCCGCGCCCTCCCCAGCTCCCTCAGCCGCCTCCTGTCTGGAGGGGCAGGTTTTGCGGCACCCAAAGACAGTGCATTTTGGGGGGAATGTCAGATGCCAAGCACGCTGACACGATCCAGTGGCTTCATGACACAGCCTGTGACCGGGTTCCCGGCGGGGCACACGTTAATCAGGAAACGTGCGTTTACGGGTCTCTTCCCGCTGTCTTCTCTTCCCCCAGTATCATCTCCGGTGCCGGGAGTGGAGAGAGCTCGGCGCCTCGTGGGGGCTCAGTGTGTGTGGCCTAAACACGGGTGAATGAATGGTGCAAATGGACGGAGATTTGGAACCCCACGCCCCGACTGGGTGACCGTCCCCTGCGTCTTGTCCCGGTTTCCCACGGTGTTAAATAACACCGCAGTGAACATCTCCGTGATTTCTTCCAACGTGTGTGTGTGTGTGTCCGTGTGCGTGTGTGAGTGTGTGCCCTCCCTTCTCACGCCCGCCCGACTCTCCCTCATGGTGGCCCTGTCCCCTTCGTCCTTTGCAGACCCGTCCGTCCCCCTGGACCCGATCTCCGTTTCTAATTCCTCGTCCCAGATCCTTCTGAAGTGGAAGCCGCCCTCGGACCCCAACGGCAACATCACGCACTACCTGGTTTTCTGGGAGAGGCAGGCAGAAGACAGCGAGCTGTTCGAGTTGGATTATTGCCTCAAAGGTGAGCGGGGCGGGGGGTGGGGGGTGGGGGGAGGGGCTGTGCCGGGACCCGCGGGGTTCACATGCGCGGTGGGTCCACTTTGCTCCGATTCTGGGCAGGCGACTCTCCCTTCCCAGGTCCCAGTGTCTATGCAAACGTGCGCACACACTCTCCATTCCGTCTCATACAAACACACACACACACACACACGCACACACACACACACACTTTTTTTTTAGTGTATTATGGGGGTACAAGTGTTAAGGTTACATATATTGCCCATGCCCCCTCCCCCCCTCGAGTAAGAGCTTCAAGCGTGTCCATCCCCACCAAACGTTGCACATGTCACTGTTGTGGTTGTATCCACCATCCTCCTCCTCCCACCTCCCGACACCGATAGATGTTACTCCTATATGTCCACTTGGGTGTTGATCCGTTAGTACCAGTTTGCTGGTGAGTACACGTGGTGCTGGTTTTTCCATTCTTGAGATACTTCACCTAGTAGAATGGGTTCCAGCTGTATCCAGGAGTATACAAGAGGTGCTAGATCACCATTGTTTCTTAAAGCTGAATAGAACTCCATGGTATACATATGCCACATTTATTAATCCACTCATGAATCGATGGGCACTTGGGTTGTTCCCACAGCTTTGCGATTGTGAACTGTGCTGCTATAAACATTCGAGTGCAGGACACACACATTTTTAAAAGCCGCCACACAAGCACACACTCCAAAGGTGCATGTCCAAGCCAGATATTTCCTAATTTCTTATATCTTGCCACCATTTCCCTCTGGAATTTTCTCCTCTTCCGTTTCCTTCCTCCTCCTCTCCCTTTCTTCAGCCTCCTCCTCCTCGTTCCCTGCTCACACCAACCGGGATGCAGCTGTGTGAACCCACCAAAGACTCTTCTGTGCAGAGCTAGAGACACAACCTGTTGTGTTGAGGGGTTACAGACGGAGTTGGGGAAGGACTGTGGCCCTACTGAGACCCTTTAGTTCTTAGGGTTGGAGGCAGCAAGGAGCGATCATCCCCTCGCCCCCTTCTGAACTTTCAATTAAAATTTTATACTAATGACAATTTTTTTAAAGTCTTAATCTTGTTTATGTAATGGGCTTCCATCCACCTGAAGGAAAATGGAAAAATAGTTGAAGTCCCAAACTAGCGTGTATACATTAAAGTTTTTTAAAACAGGGAGGTTTTGTTTGTTTGTGTTTTGTTCGCTTTTTCTTTTTTTTTTTCTTTGGGCAGAGGTCTCTCTTGCTTCCCGGGCTAAAGTGGGCCGTGGACGTAGCTTACTCACACGCAACCTCAAATCCTGCGGCTCAAAAGGATCGCTTCTCTCAGCCTCCGGAGTGCTGCGACTACAGCATGTGTTCACATGGCGCTGGGCTAATTTTTATTTATTATATTTTATAGTCCAGCTAATTTTCTTTCTATTTTAGTACAGATGGGGTCTCACTTCGCTTCTCAGGCTGGTTTCGAACTCCTGACCTTTTTAGCCCGCCCGCCTCGGCCCTCCCAGAGCTGCTAGGGGATTTACAGAAAAAAACCAGAACCAAAGAGGGCCGGCGGTGGGCGCGGTTAGGCCAGCCGCACCTGGCCAGAAGGCCAGGTGCGTTTTTAGATAAACAAAAGCCAAAACAAAACAATTAGGGGGCTGGGTGAGGTTGGCTCATGCCTGTAATCCCAGTACTTTGGGAGGCCGTGACAGGAGGATCACTTGAGGCCAAGGGTTCGAGACCAGCCTGGGCAACAGAGCAAGATCCCATCTCTACAAAAAGTAAAATAAATAGCGGAGGGTAGTGGGGTGCACCTGCAGTCCCAGCTCTCAGGAGGCTGAGGTTAGAGGATGGCTTGAGCCCAGGAGCTGGAGGCTGCAGAGCTGCCATGACGCCACTGCACTCCGGCCTGGGCGACAGAGTGAGACGCTGTCTCAAACAAACAAACAAAAAAGACACAACAAACTCCCCTCCTCCACCCACCCAACCAGAGAAGCCACAGTCACTATTTTTCCCTTTAGTTTAGGTTTGTTTGTCTTGATTTCCCTTTTTCGAGATATTTTCAGTTAGTGATAATATCCTTAGCCCATGACCTTGGAGGAGAAGGCCAGGGGGCGTCACCGGCCGGGCGGGGGCCCAGAGCCCAAGGTCTGCTCTTGGCTCGGCCCCTGACCTGCTGTAGGGTTTTGGCCGAGTCCCCGACCAAGTCACCATCGACCTCCTTTTTGGGAGAAGGGGCGGGAGGCCAGACCGTCTCCGGGAGCCGTCCCAGCTCTAAGATCAGGTGCTATATGTGTGCCTGTGACATCAGACCCGGATTGCAAATGTGATTTATCTCCTCCGCGGCTTTATATAACTCCGGGGCGAGTCCAGGCTGCGGGCTCTGCTGCAAGCTCTGGCCCCGCCTCAGAGAAACCAAAGCCACCCGCCAGCCAGCCAGCGCAGCCACCGGCGACTTCAGTCGAAGCTTTCCATTCCTTTTTACTCTGAAAGCCTAAATCTCTCATTACCCCCGGGCTGCTTAAACATGGTTTTCTTTGCAAGGATCACAGAGTTTATGTAATTAAAAGTAAACTTACTAAGGACAAACACTGCGTGGCTCCACTCCCACTCCCAGGAGGTCCCCTGGAGGTGTCAGATCCACAGAGCCAGGAAGCAGGGTGCCGGGGGGCTGGGGAGGGGGCGGGCAGGGAGTGTTTCATGGGGACAGAGCTTCGGTTTGGGAAGACGAGAAAGTTCTGGAGACGGAGGGTGCTGACAGTCTCGGCACAGCACTGCGAGCGTGCTTCGTGCCATAGAACGGCACACTCGGAAATGGTTAAAATAATACATTTTACGGGGTGTGTATTTTACCACAATAAAGAAAGAATCACACACTAGGGATAGTAATAAGATGTGACCACTGGTCGTGATCAGTAACCTTATATATATATAGAGAGAGAGATAGATAGATAGATAGATAGATAGATAGATAGATAGATAGATAGATAGATAGAGTGTGTGTGTGTTTCAAATTGTGGTAAAATACACGTCCCATAAAATTTATTATTTTAACACGTGCTGACCTGTGGCATGAAGCGCATTCACGCTCTGTGCACCCTCCACTTCCAGAACCTTCTCTCCTTCCCAAACCGAAACCTAGTCCCCAGGAAACACCCCACCCCCTCCCCAGCCCCCTGGCGCCCCCCCCACCCCACTCTACTTCCTGTCTCTGCGCATCCGACCACCGCAGGGACCTCAACGTCATCACGCTCTGCCATCAGGGTCTCAGAAAAGCCACGGGCTCCCCGTGTTTCACACAGCGCATTCTAGAAAGAGGACGCGGCGTGATACTTCTCTGCCTTACCGAACATCTTTCTCTCTAGGAAAACCGTCCAGAGCCCCCCTTCCTAAGGCAGCCCTGCATTTTTCTTCCATGTGTAGCGTTGCAACTAGCTCCTCTCAGAGTTAGCCCAGCCAGATCACTCTAGGAACAAATGTCAGAAGCGTTTTCTGAAGTCCCTCGTAGGCTTTGAAAGCTGGATAAATAACTTGGGCTTCCGAGTGGGTGCTTACTATCCACTCCACGGTACTTGACACGTTCGCTTATTGCTGATTGTCTACAGCCAAGGGATTGACGGGAGGGGAAAATGGCATTTCTTTTGCTTGGTAGACAATGCCAGCAGACGCCAGCCCCCTCCCACCCCCCACCCCCGAGGGCTGGCGGCAGGTGGGGGTGAATTGGAGGGGGCTGTCGTGGGCTTTGCCCGTGAAGAGTCAGGTCCTGCAAGAGGCGTGGCTGGGCTCACCCCATGTGTGGGTCACCAGAGCCCCCCTGGATCTGGCCTCAGGAGTTTTGTATTTTCAGAACCGCTAACCTTGGAAAGGTGATAGGGCATTCTTTTTCTTTTTCCTCTCTCTCTCTCTCTCTTTTTTTTTTTTCAATTTTTATATTCCGTTTTCTGTGCATATTTGATACATTTCTTCTTCCCTCTCCTCCCATGTCTTTAGTTCAGAGTGTTTCTGCCCGGGCACTGTTGTCATCATCCAGGGTGGGGTCATTCTCCGGGGCACCGGCCATGCTGTGCGCTGCAGAGTGTTGAGTGGGGTCTCTGGTCTTCTAAGAGCAGCCCTGGCCAGTCCTGGCAGCCACACATGTGTCCAGATGTTGCCCAGTGTCCCTGGCAGGTGGCAGGAAGGGGAACAAACTTGCTGCTGGGCGAAAACCACTCACTAATCGAGTTTCCTTTCGGGATCCGCGCAGGGACCCCTTAGAATTGCGAGTGGAACTCGGCCCCAGGCTCTGCGTCAGCCCGGCCCCTCCGAGAAGGCTCCTTGTCGCCCCCCCCCGTGGGCGCGTGCGTTGCCAACAAGGACGTGCACCCCCTTCTCTCCGCCTGCCTCTAGGGCTGAAGCTGCCCTCGCGGACCTGGTCGCCCCCGTTCGAGTCCGACGACGCGCAGAAGCACAACCAGAGCGAGTACGAGGACGCGGCGGGCGAGTGCTGCACCTGCCCCAAGACGGACTCGCAGATCCTCAAGGAGCTGGAGGAGTCGTCGTTCCGGAAGACGTTCGAGGATTACCTGCACAACGTGGTCTTCGTTCCCAGGTCAGGGCTCACGTGGCGCCGGGCTCTCCGAGCGGGAGCGCACCCGTCGCCTTGGGGTCGGGGGTCATCGTGGAAGGGCCGGGGCAGAGGCCGGAGGGTGACCCAGCGCCCAGGGGACGGCGGGCGGAGGCCGAGCCTCCGATCAGAGGCCGCGCCGGGGAGGAGGAAGAGGTCTTGCGATTTTCACGGGAACCTTAGCAGGAACTGCGAAGGTTCATCTATCTTTACCTTTCCTGAAAGCAAAGACACTTAGGTAAAAGGCACAGCCCCACGACCACGCACCACTGTTTTTTTTTTTTAAGACTAATTTGTGCTAAAACAGGAACACACACACAAAAAAGGGAGTAAAGTTTGCAAAACTCAACATTTGTCTTTCTCATCTCTCCTGAACCGGGTCTCCGAGTTCCGAAACAAACGCTATCTGGTTATTGAGGCCAGTCCTGAGACATGCCTTTCTGGCACCCTGTGCTTGATTTATCGCTGGGTCTTAAACTCACCGTATTTTCTCTTTTTTTTTTTATTTGTGTAACCTTCTCATCCTTCTGGAACTTTCCACAGCATCATCTAAAACCCAGAGACATCTCTTATTTAAATATATTGGATTTCCTTTAGTGAGTGAAGGGTCTTGATCAGTACATCTGATTTACTGAGAGCATCAGCAGTAAAAGTGGCTCTAGACTTTATTTTTTATTATTTTTTAGAGACAGGGTCTCACTCTGTCGTGCAGGCTGGAGTGCAGTGGCGTCATCACAGCTCACTGCAGCCTCCAACTCCTGGGCTCAAGCCATCCTCCTGCCTCAGCCTCCTGAATAGCTCAGACTACAAGTCTGGTCTCGAACTCCTGGCCTCAAGCGATCCTCCTGCCTCAGCTTCCCAAAGTGCTGGGATGACAAGCGTGAACCACCATGCCTGACCACTCTAGACTTATTCATCTATCTTTACCTTTCCTGAAAGCAAAGACACTTTGCACATCCCCATGACCATGCACCACTATTTTTTTTAAGACTAATTAGTGCTAAAAACAGGAAGAGACATTTACGAATACAGGGTGGACGGGTTCTTCCCATGCACATTTCTCTGCTTTAGTGCCCAAGAGGCAGAAGAGCAGAGTAGATCCCGGCCGGGGGGCTCTCGAGACTGACCACCTGGGGTCCCTGCTGTCTTGTGTACCAGCGTGCATGGGGCGGTCACTTCACCGCTCCCTGTGCCTCAGTTTCCCCATCTGTAAAATGGCCATAATAAGCATTGCTGTCTTTTAGGGCTGTGAGATTAAACGAGTCACACAGAGATCTTCAACCTCGACACTGTCCACACTTGGAACCAGATCGTTCTCTGGGGCGGGGCGTCTAGGCAGCGTAGGGTACTGAGTGGTGGCCCCGGACTTGCCCCATTTGATGCCCATAGTTCCTCTTCCACACCCCACCCCAGTCATGACACCCCAAAATACTTCAGGAATTGCCAAGTGGCCCCAGGACTTTGAGTATGTATCAGTGTGCCCGTAGCTGGGCCCCTCCCCAACATCACCTTTGTCTGCCTTCCCCTAGAACTTGGGTGGGTGGCCGCCCAGAAATGGATGGAAACCGCAGACAGAGCAGGGTTCTAAAATGTGTCTGTTCAAACATCCCCCAACGCTACGCGTCTGAGTAGACTTTATCCCAGAACCATCAATATGTCATGTTCCCTTTGCTTTTTTCTTTCTTGCTTGCATTTTCCCCCTGTGACCCTGAGTCCAAAGGAGCATTCAGTGGTACAGCCCAGGTGTCAAGGCGGTTACTGTTTTACCCGTTTTAAAAACAAAATGCTGCCGGACTTGGGGGAATGGCTGAGTTAGTCCGTGTTGTCTCAAGGTAGTGAAATTAAAGGCGAGTGCAGTGGCTCACGCCTGTAATCCCAGAACTTTGGGAGGTCCGGGCGGGAGGATCACTTGAGGCCAGGAGTTTGAGACCAGCCTGGGCAACAGAGCAAGACCCCATCTCTGCAAAAAATAGAAAAATCAGCCAGGTGTGGTGGCACGTGCCTGTAGTCCCAGCTACTTGGGGGGGCCGAGGCGGGAGGATCGCTTGAACCCAGGAGTTGGGGGCTGCAGTGAGCTGTGATGATGCCACTGCACTCCAGCCTGGGCAACCAAGCAAGACACTGTCTAAAAAAAAAAAAAAAAGCAGTCAAGTTTGACATCCCAGGGGTCACTGGGAAATGACTTTCTCCAGTTTTTCTCCCCTCCTTTGGCTGGAACAGGGGAAGGTGTAGTTCACGGTCAAAGGCAGGGCCCTCTTGCACAGACAGAACGTGGCCTCCAGGGGTCAGGCAGTCTGCCCAACGAAGTTGTGTGTGTCCTCAAAGCGGTTGGTTTTCTTTTCACAGAAAAACCTCTCCAGGCACTGGCGCTGAGGACCCTAGGTAGGACTTCCCGCGGGCGGCCCCCGGGGGCAGCTCGGCCTGGCGGGGCGGAGGGCACGCCACGCGCCTCGGACACCCGGGGGTTTCTGCGGCTCACTGCATGCGGCGGGCCTCTGCGCCGGGGAGCAGATGCTTCATAAATCCACAAATTGAACGCCTTTCGCTCTGAAATGGGATCTGGGCGTGAATTGGGGGCGGGGGTGAAATCTAAACTAACACCCTCTTCCTAAAACATAGACTCATAGGAGTACTTCCGGGGCACCTCCATACTGTCTCCGGTTTGCCGCAGTCACTGCGCGCAGTCCACGTCCCCGAACATCCGTCCACCACGCGTCCCGCCCGCACACACAGACACACAGACACACACACACACACACGCACGCCAGGCGGACGTGCACCCAGGAGTCTGAGCCCCGCGACACAAGGGGTGTCCCCACCCCAGCGTCTCCTCCTACTCTACAGGGGAAGGTTGACCCGGAAGCAGAACGTTCTTTAATGCAGGGAGGCGCGGCCTAAAGCAAAGAGGGACTCCAAGTCCCTCCACCGAATTCACTGAGGAGTCAGGGACAGCCGCCTGCAACTTGCACCTTACAGAACGAAGGGGCCGGGGGACCCCCCCACCCCTGGACCACAGAGGAAGCAGGGGAAGGACTTGGGAGAAAGGCCAGGGGATGGGACGGATCGTGGTGGGCTCTTGGGAAGAACTGGAGGTGAGATTAGAAAGGAGAGGTTGGGGACACTTGTGAACAGAGCGTTTATTTATTTATTAATCTATCCCCAGGCACCTGTGTGGCCGGAGCTGCCCTCTGGTGGCCGTTGGGAATATAATCTGTAGCCAGAGAAAGGGCTGGAAATGTGTGGTCCTTGGTCCAAAGCGGGGATTTCTCAATCTCAGTCCTTCGGATAATTTGGGGATGGATCCTTCTCAAGGCTGGAGACCATCCTGTGCCCTGTAGGATGTTAGGCAGCACAAACTGGCCTCCACTCACCCGATGCCAGTGTCACACCTGCCCCCAAAAGTAGTGATAAGCCAAAACTATCTCTGTGCCAATTGTCCTCCTGGGGGGGTGGGGACAGATGTAGCCAGTCTAGTGTGGGATTGTTGGGTAATGAAGTGCTGCCTATGGGCCGGGCGCGGTGGCTGATGCCTGTAATCCTAGCACTCTGGGAGGCTAAGGCGGGAGGATCACTGGAGGTCAGGAGTTCGAGACCAGCCTCAACAAAATAGAGACTCTGTCTCTACTAAAAATAGAAAGAAACTAGCTGGGCAACTAAAAATGGAAAAAAAAAAAATACCCTGGCATGGTGGCGCATGCCTGTAGTTCGAGTTCCCAGGAGTTGGAGGTTGCAGTGAGCTGTGATGATGCCAGGGCACTCTAACCCGGGCAACAGAGCCAGACTGTCTCAAAAAAAAGGCTTCCTATGTAGGGAGTGGAAGCCTCAGTTGGCAGGAAAGACCCTGTCCTAAGGGTCTTTCATTACCACTTTAGGGTCTTTGGGGATATAATTATTTGGGTATCTATAACTATTTGGCCTATTTGATGAGGCTGTTTTGTGTCTCTGGTCGTTCAGTTACCAATTTCTCTGGGGCGATTTATGAGGCACCCATTGTCTTGGTTACTTTTATTGCAAGACCCTTTATGCCTGTACAAAAATGTTCCCAAGTCTGCTGTATGGATATATCTTTAGCTTGAGAATTAAGTGGTGGAGATGTTTTCTTTTCCACCCAAGAAGGTTGTTGGCCTTTTAAAACAAACAAACAAAAATCACAAAGAAAATATTATTAACTACCTCCCCCCAAAGTAGAACTTGTTTTCTGACCACAAATTTTCTGATGTCAATCCAATAATAAAAACAAAAAGTTAAACTTCAGAAGTTTGAACAGAAAACTCTACTTCTTGGTGGTTAAAAAGTCAATCATTTCAATATCTATTAGGTCAAAGAAGAAATGGAAACTTCCTATTGAAGTTTCCATTTGGAGAATGATGAAAATGTGAAATGTGACTATCACATACCTTAACTTGTAGAATGCTGCCAAAGCTGGGCTTTGATGAAAATTAGTAGATTTAAATGGATTCATAAACTAAGAAAAAACTTTAAAATGTCAAAATATAAAAGTGCTCGAGAGGGAGAGGAAAATTGATAATAGCCAAGCCTTTGGTAAATGTAACCTAAGGGGGGAAAAAAAACTGGAAGAAGAGAAGATAATATAAAATCAGAGCTAAACTGATTCAAAAAGAAACAGAAAAATTATGCAGTGTCAAGACGTTGGAAAAAGATACGTATCAGTTAATTTACTTGATAAAGTCTTCAGGCTGAGAGAATTTTGTAGATGAGTTCCTTCATGCCCTGAAAGAGCCACTATTTACTGTAATATAGAAACTGTTCCAGGGTTTAGAAGTCTATAAAAATCATCCCAGTTCATTTTATGAAACTAACATAACACCCTTAGTAGTACCTGACAAAGATACTACACTGAAAAAAGAAAAATAGGCCAAGCTAATATGTGACTTTAGATTCAAGTGTTCCAGATAAAACACTACACAAGCAACATTGTTTATGTCCAAAATGCAAGGATGGTTTAAGGTCAGAAGATCTGATAATATCATCTACTTCATTAAGAGGCGCAATAAAGAAAATAATATCGTTAATGCAAATAATGTTAATGAAACATAACTTAGAGAAAGGAAGGAAAAAGAGGCCTCTTATAAAAGTAGGAATAGAATACTTCTTCCACAAGATAAATAGTCCCTAGATTAAGCCAACAGCCAAGCTAACATCATTCTTAGAGTTAGGAACAAAACAAGGATGCCTGATCTCATCATTACTAATTAACGTTTCTCTGGGCAACTAGCCAATGCAACAAGACATGAAACAAATTAGAATTGTGAAGAATGGAATGTGGCAAGTCATTGATATTTGTAGATGGTCTAGTGCAAGGGTAGGCAAACTATGGCCCATGGGCCAGCTGCCTGTTCTTGTAAATGAACATTTATGAGAATGCAACCACACTCATTTGTCTATGTATTCTCTATGGCTGCTTTAAGCTACAATGGCAGAGTTGAGTAGTTATGACTCAGGTTGTGTGGCCTCCAAAACCCCAAATATATACTATCTAGCCTTTTACAGGAAAAAATTGCTAACCTTTTTTTCTAGTCTGTTGAAGACTAGCTTCTGTATTAAGAAGCTTAAAGGGTTCTCTCGCTCCTTGAACCGAGTGATATCTTCTTCTTGAAATCCACTCTGGGGAACTTAATAAGGCAATCAGACAAATGATCAAAGCAATATTTATAACAGCAAACAAAATTAAGAATGCCATATTTAAAAAAAAAATAGGAGAAGGCTGACTGCATGCCAGCTCATGCAATAAATGGAATATTTTACAGCGATGAAATATTTTCCAAGTTTTCCACAAGAAGCACATGCTACTTTGTCATTGAGCAGGGGAAAAACCCTAACGTTAAAAAAGAAATAGAAAAAAAAAAAGCTGAAATCCTGTCCTACTTAAGCCATTAGGTTGTAAGGAAAATATTTAACTAATACATCAATATAACAAGTGAGCAAAGTGGGTTATAAAACAGGCTCTGTCCTCATCCACACCCACACATAATATTTATAGGAAAAAATAAATCGCCCAGAGGAAGCAGCGGCAGGTGGAATTATAAGTTATTTACGTTTTCTTTTTTATACTTTTCTTTTTCATATTTTAAAATGTTTTGGGCCACCTACATTTATTTCTTAATGTACCTTTTTAAAAGGTGGGGAGAAGGGTGCCGGTTGCAGACATGGTTCTTAGAGCTACCCTTTATTTACCTGAATGATGAGATTCCTTTGCCAAGAATCCGAGTCTTGTTACTCAGATGACACGGGTGCCGTAAACAGTCACAGAGACGAGAAGATCCGTTTCTTCCTGTTTAAACCGGTGATGTCAGCCCGCAGCCTGGACCCCTGGGCCAGCGCCACCTGGCAGGGCTTCCTGAAAAGCTAGACTCTTACTGCTTTTGGCATCTTATTTTTAACACTGACCCCGGGTGGCCTGTTCATCTGGAAAATGAAAACCTGAAATCAAGCATGTCAAGGGGCAATGTCGGGGTGTGTCCTGGAATCACCCACGCCTCACGGGGTGGGCCTGACCTCCTCCTCCTCCTCGAGATGCTCACGAAAGGCATCCTGGAAGCAGGGTGCTCTGGGCGGTAATTCCTGGCAATCTGCATTTTGATCCACGCGCCTCCCTACGCCCCCGCCGCCCGCTGCAGCCCCGATCTTTCCTCCTAATTCAACCTTTCATTCTCGAGCATCGTTCTCATTTTTAAGGCGGTGATGGTGCGATCACGCGTGTCCCGTTGTCATCCTTCCAGGCCATCCCGGAAACGCAGGTCTCTTGGCGAAGTCGGGAACGTGACGGTGGCCGCCATTCCCACCCTCCCCACTTTCCCCAACACCCCGTCAACGAGCGTCCCCACCAGCCCAGAGGAGCACCGGCCGTTCGAGAAAGTGGTGAACAAGGAGTCGCTGGTCATCTCGGGCCTGCGGCACTTCACGGGCTACCGCATCGAGCTGCAAGCTTGCAACCAAGATGCCCCCGACGAACGGTGCAGCGTGGCCGCCTACGTCAGCGCCAGGACCATGCCTGAAGGTGGGGCGACTCCCCCCACCGGCGTCCGCACTGAATGGGGCGGGAGGCCCAGGCTGCCCAGGGACAAACCCTTCACCCCATAAGCATCGTATACGTTATATGTGTGCTTCGCCTCATTTGCTTTTATTATTAATTATTATTATTATTATTATTTTCTTTTGGAGACAGGGTCTTGCTCTGTTGTCCAGGCTGGAGTACAGAGGCGTGATCAAAGCTGCCTGGCAGTGTTTAAATTTTTTTTTTTTTTTTAGAGATGGGGTCTTGCTGTGTTGCCCAGGCTGGTCTTGAACTCCGGGGCTCCAGCAATCCTCCCGCCTCGGCCTCCCAGAGCACTGGGATCACAGGCATGCCGCGCCTCTCGCTGCGCCTGGCCATTTAAATATTACATGGGCTATGGGGGAAATCATGCAAGCGCTCGAGGCCGCTCAGCTGGTAGGTGGCAGAAGTGGGATCTGACCCGAGATTCACCTGCCTGCCTCCACCTTCTGCCCCATGCAGCCAAGGCTGATGACATCGTAGGCCCCGTGACCCATGAGATCTTCGAGAACAACGTCGTTCACCTGATGTGGCAGGAGCCGAGGGAACCCAACGGCCTGATCGTGCTGTATGAAGTCAGTTACCGGCGATATGGCGATGAGGTAAGGACCGGGAGGCTCGGGCCACACGCCTCTGGAGTCGCCCTTGTGCCTCCTTCCTCTGCTGAAATTCTGACCCAAATGCTTCTCTCACTCGATGCCGTGTTGTTGGGACTCAAAGCCTTGATACGTGGCCTTCCAAGGCGATGGGTTCGAAATGCCAACCTGCAAGCTGCTTTCTTTGCCCAGATTCCTACCTTGCTTTTCAGTTCTGTCCTCCACGTGGGGCGGCGGCCGCTTCCACCTGTGTCCCTCTCGCCACGACGGTTGCTTTAGAGGGAGTTATCGGAATCCCTTAAAACCTTCATAAGTGACCTTTGGTTGGGTGCCCCACTGTAGCCTCAGACCCTCGCCAGTCGGTGGGCAAACGCAGAGGTGCTCGAGGGACAGAAAGAACTAAGCCAGCAGCTGAGCTGTCCTCGGTGGTCACTGCGCTCCTCGTGCACACTGAGCACTTGACACGCGGTATCTCATGTATCCCATTTTATCACATTCGGGTGTTATGAGAGGCCCCATTATTTTTACAGAAAGAAAAAAGTGGCTTCATTCTCACCGTAAAATGGCATCGCTCGCCATACGCCTTCCGCTTTCAGGAATGTCAAAATGCAAACATGGGATACTTCTTGGGACTGAGGAAGTGTAATCAATCCTCAGCGTATCCCGGTGAGCCAGGTACTGAGGCTTCCAGAGTTGAAGTCACTGCACAAGGTCTGCAAGAACAGAGTCAGGATTCAAACCCAAGACTGATATTCTTCTAATTCAGGGGGTGGCTGGCAATTTTTTTTTTTTTTCTGTAAAAGGCCAGATGGTCTCTGTTGCAATTGCTCCACTCTGCCATGGTACCAACAAAGCAGCCGTGGACAGTGGGTAAACAAATGGGTGTGCTCGTGTGCCAATAAAACTTTATTTACAAAAACAAGTGGTGGGCTAGGGTTAGCCTGTAGGCCAGAGTTTACCAAGAACCAACAGGGATTATAGCAACACCATCTGATTTCCTGGAACTTTGGGAGAAAGACCTGCTATAACCAGGTGTGCCTCCCTTGAGGGACCCCTCCTGGGGTCACTTCAACTCTTGGCACCCAAATATTTGGCTTTGACAATGACTTAGAACTGGGATCATCACACTATGGCCTGTGGGCCAAATCTGGCTCACAGCCTGTTCTTCTACAGCCTGCAGCGAGGTGTTCTAAAGAAATAAAGCAGAACATGCAATAGAGACTCTATGTGGCCCTTCCCAGAAATTTTAGAAAACAAAAATGTCCTTACTGAAATTGTCATTCTCTGCCTATCTGGGGGTCCTGTTTGCTAAATAAATGGACTATTTATATGCCTTAAAAAAAAACCATCCATTTTATAAATAAAATAGAGCTCAGTTTTTAGTTTGCATAAACGTGCTTGTGCGTATAATTCATGTTTGTGTGTTGCTCTCTCCTGCCCAAAGACGTGTCTGTCTGAGAAGTGCTATGTCACTGTGGTCTTGATTTGCATTTTTGTCCTGGCTCCTTTAAGGCTGAGTTTTGAGGCCCTTCTCAGAAGGACTTAGACCCTTTAGCTTTAGGCCCTGGCACCGGGGTGGGCTTGAAGCTGGGCTGTGACAGCCACTGAAGTGAGAGGAGTAGCTTCCAAAGGAAGTCGAGGGCACTGTTGGCAGCAGAAAGAATATGGATTCTGCGGAGTGTGTAATTAATGTGTTGCTACTGCAGAACCTCCTTGATTTTATTTCTGCTGCTGTTGCCAACCTGTCCCCATGTACCTGGAACTTTCTGGGTGTGGACACCAAAATCCCAAATTACTGGGGATTCCTTAGTTTTGGCTAAACCTGGACAACTGATCACTCTCTTGGCATCAGACCTGACCCTAACCCTAACTTCTCCCAGCTTCTCCCAGCTGCCTTTGACTGGCCTGTGTGTCTCCTATTCCCGGGGCCCGAGGGTCGCTGGTACAAATCCTCAGCAGCCTCTGCCCCAGACAGACCAGCTCTGTTTTCCCTCCAGGGAAGCAAAGATGTGGCAGAAAATTAGGAGAAAGTGAGATGTTACAATCACCTTCTTACAAACCTTTTGCAGATACTTATTTTAACTATTTCCAACATTTTCCTTAATCGCCTAGCATTGCTTTCATTAAGAAAAAAAAAAAAAACAACATCAAACTATTATTTTATATACACAATTTGGACTGTCAGAGTATAATTTTGCCACATTTATAAAATTCTCTCCGGCATTTGGTGGGAGGTAATTTTTTTGTTTTCCTTTTTGGTTAGTGTAATAGACACTATCATCTCTGGTTGCTTATTTGATTGCATTGCTTTTGAAGATGTCCGTTTTTAAACCTTGCATCAAAATCATTTGTCCCCTAGACACTTTCCTGCCCCACTGTTGGAAAGTCTGTCTCTGGGGAGTCACCCTTGCCCAGAAAGAGCATCAATTGTGTGTGTGTGTGCGTGTGCGTGTGTGTGTGTGTGTGTGTGTGTGTGTTTCATATTGTTTGCTCAATATCTTTCAGAGTTTTGGTCTTTTTCTCCCATTGGGACAAACCTTTAAGTAATTGGCTCCTTCAAGTTTTTGTTTTTGTTTTGCTTTTCTTTTATTTTTCTTTTGGTATCTATGGGGAGAGCTTGACAAATGTTCTGGTTCCTTCCATCACACCCCTTTCTGGCTGCCCGCTCCTGAAGGTGTCTAGGGTAAATAACTACTATTAGAGCATGCATTTCCCCTTTGTCCCAGATAGCAGCTACCTTTGGCTTAATAGTCCCTTGCTACTTGGTGACTCATTCTACTTGGAAGCAACTTTGGACCGGAGTCCTCTGCCCCCACCCCTGCCGCCAGGGCGATTTGTTTTCTCCCTGTTATTGTCACATGATAAGCACGGGGTTTTGGACATTGCTTTCTCTTCTCCTCCCCTCCCCTCCCCTCCCTCCCTCCCGCCACCCCACCCCCTTGTAAGTTTTCCAGTCCAGTTCTCTGCACGCACTATTAGTCCTGACTGTTTTGGAAAGTTTTCAGAGCTCTGGCCTGACGCTTGCAGAGTTTGCGGTCTCACTGCCCCGTGAGCCTCCTGTCTCTCCTCTTGATACCTTCTGAGTTTCTCTCCAGTTATGTGCTTAGCACAGAGCGTGTGCACCACTTTTCTCTTCCTACCAGACATGTGGGTGAAGTTCAACCCTCTTTATGATGATTAAAAATATAGAGAGAAAGGAAAATGAGCAGACATGTCAATCAGAAGGTGCAATGTTTCAGTTAGACAGGAGGAATAAGTTCTAGGGATCTGCTGCCCTCTATAGGAATGGAAACCAGAAGTAGTAATGCCTATTTCAAAATTGCTAAAATAATAGATTTCTAAACGGTCTTCCCATAAATAAGTGGTAAGTATGTGAGGTGATGTATATGTTAAATTAGCCTATTTGAATCGTTCCACGGCGTAAACATGTATCCTAACCTCACACTGGCCCCCCAAATATACTATTATTTGCCAATTAAAAATAAAATAAGGCCAGGCACGGTGGCTCAAGCCTGTCATCCCAGCACTTTGAGAGGTCGAGGCAGGAGGATCGCTTGAGGCCAGGAGTTTCAGACCAGCCTGGACAACGCAGTGAGGCCCCCATCTCTGCAAAAAAAAAAAATACATAAATGCATACATACATGCATAAAATAAAATAATTCTTTTGAAAAAGAATAATATCTCAGGACATGTGACAGTTGGTTGGGGTCCAGCTTTTCCTGTGTTGGCGAAGTGTTACTGGCACGCAGCCAACCCCTTTCGTGTGTGGAGGGCGTGGAGTCGTTCGTGGCTGCTTTCCGGCTTGCAAAGCTGAGAATATTTCCACAGCGAAAGTCGAACAACCTCCATGCTAACTCTCGGTTTGCTCGGTTCTAGCGTGAAGCTCACGGCACCCAAGCCTCGGGTTGCCGTGAGCATTAGGTGACATGAGCCGGGTCGGACGCGTAGGAAGTTAGGCTGTTGTCAGCAGTGACGACCTCTGCTCCGTGTCCCTTCTCCACAGCACCATGGTTCTAAAATTCTGCCATTCTCCAAGCCGCCTGGGCAGGGTCACACTCTGACTGCGCTCTGTCGCCTCGGCCATGTCTCTGAGCGGGGTCCCGGCGGCTGGGGCGGCACCCCTGCTCGGGCGGGTGTGGCAGAGGAGCCCAGCTCAGCCCGCCTCCCCCCTCCGCTGCAGGAGCTGCATCTCTGTGTGTCCCGCAAGCATTACGCGCTGGAGCGGGGCTGCAGGCTGCGCGGGCTGTCGCCGGGGAACTACAGCGTGCGAGTCCGGGCCACCTCCCTGGCGGGCAACGGTTCCTGGACAGAAGCCACCCATTTTTACGTGACGGACTATCGTAAGTCTCCCCGGCAGCCTTGGCTGGGTTGGGGGTGTGCTTGGCGCTGAGCGTTGCAGAGGATGAGCTGGGGGGGGGGGCTACGGGTGCTGGCCCCGGACACTTGAGTCCGCCGGCTACTGCTGTGTGACTGGGGCAAGGTGCTTGGCCTCTCTGATCCTGCACTTGCTCGTCCGTACGTGGAGATCGTAACCGTACCCACTTCGGAAGGTAGAGGGAGATTTCAATAACACAACAGTTAAGTGGCTGGCACGGGGCACCTCTGGCAAACACATTAATTAGTTCCTGTTACTAGTGTATCCGTATTTGCTATTAGGGTTTTTTTTCATCTGCCAAAGGTAATGTTGGGTTTGGGACTAGCTATGTCATTTGCAGGGCACAGTGCAAAAATAAAAATAAAGAGCTTTTTGCTTGAAAATTATTAGGAATTTCAAGGGAACAATGCTAGGGCATTAAGCTGAGAGCGGGGCCCTCTGAGTGCGGGTCCCCGTGTGACTGCCTGGGTTGGGTGCCTGCCAAGCCGGCCCTGGGTGGGGAGGTGAGAAGGCTGTCCCAGGGCGGCGGTCCGGGGAGGGGCACGACAGTGTGCTTCCAGAATACACACCTCAGAGCCCACCACCTGGCCCCGCTGAGCCAAGTGATGTTTTGGGACCGGCTGAAACATGCTGTCCCAGAGACCAGCAGAGAGAGATTCAGGGACAAGAGAGGAGGGAACAGGTGTAGACTGATCTTTGCTGCAAACACATGTTGACATCAGACGTATATTTTCTTATTCTATTTCAGTAGACGTCCCATCAAATATTGCAAAAATTATCATCGGCCCTCTCATCTTTGTATTTCTCTTCAGTGTGGTGATTGGAAGTATTTACTTATTCCTGAGAAAAAGGTGAGTGCCGTGGTGTGTTGGTAAATGGTGAACAACCAGCTCTCTGGGGAAAAAGTACACCTAGATACAGGTGTAGGTATATTTGAGTTTATTATAAATTTTACTGACATGAGATGTGTAATGTGCAATTTACAGGTAATAACCCTAATACCATATGCAGTATTCTTTATTGCAATACAACTCAAGCCAGTTGATGTTTTTTCCCTCTAAACCTTTTATATCCATAACCAACCCATGAATGCAATTGATGAACAAGTATAGCTCCAACATGAATATTGATTTGCTTTTTAAATTTACATTGCAGATGTAAGATAAACTGATATAAGATGTATACATTCATCAATGATGTCAGTAACTTTTCTTTACTGAATCAGATAATAATTTTTAAATACCAGAAGTAAATTTTCTTTCTTTCTTTTTTTTTTTTTTCATGTCATTTGCAGTGGCTTCACTGCAGACATGACACACTTTGAAGTTAAATCTGCATAATTAAACGTGTTTCTCATCACTTTCTCAAGCCTGGACAAATAACAGAACAATAAATCCAGTCCCAATTTATAGTCTTGGCCGATGCCTGTGGTGTAAATATTCCTGCCTTGGCCAATTTCAAGCTCTTAGATGGGATGTCCCTGAGCACAGAGATGGCAAGATAGACACAAATACTCACATTGTATCCTATTTCTACCCTATGATACAATGTTGCAAATAAACAAGATCACATAAACAGCCTCAAGCACCTTGATCGTGGTAAAATGCAGTATAAGCATTAGTGATGAGTTTTGAACATTTATTGCCTTTGCTTTTATTTATTGTAAGCCTCTGTCATTTGATTTTTACTGACAGTTGTATTCAGAAGCCAGTCAGCAAATTTTCTGAAAATTTAACATTGTTTCTTGCCAGCTCCAGAATGGTACTGGGTTAGTAGCTTTTAGGTGTTACGTGGAAGACCATAAATTATACTAAAAGCCACCCAGGGAGAGGGGAGCATTCCCATGTTGATGCATTTAAGTAGCCATTAAGATCCATTTCCATGCAAAGCGTAAGGGTCCCCTCTCCCCGCCCTAGACTGCATCTGGGTTTATGTGGATGCCACTGGGAAGGGCTGTCCCTTGCCTTGGGGAGCCCTGTTTTGTAACTTCTTTCCAGAGACCCTCAGAGTCCCATGAAAATTTCAAGCCTCACTTTTCCTCCCCCCAGGCAGCCAGACGGGCCGCTGGGACCGCTGTACGCATCTTCAAACCCTGAGTACCTCAGTGCCAGTGATGGTGAGTGCCGTCCCCCTCCCCGTGGGTGGCCAGCACTGTTGGGCCGTTGGGCTGCTTCTGCTGTCAGTTTCGAGCGCGAGTGGGGGGCTGCTGCCCCAGGGGGCCAGGGAAAGCCGTCTTGCTCGCGTGAGCTCGCTGACCCGCCCTGGCTGCAGAACCCTGCCCCCCGACCCCGTTACTGTGCAGAGTCAGACACCTGCTCTCTGGCACCTGCTTGGACGGGCTCCCCCAGCCAGCTGGTCTGGGGCCCCTGCCCAGCCTCTGCCGTCTTCTCGGTGGGGGCAGGCAGACACCCCTCCCGTTCTCAGCCACGCACACCCAGTGCCCGGCACAGGTCCTGCGCCACGGAAGCCACTCCATGAATGTTTGCGGGGAGGTGGGGTGTCCGGGGGCCCCCCCCAAGGGACCGGCCGAGATTGCTGTGTAGATAAGTGAGAAGCAGTGTTTCCGTGTTCTGTGTACGTGCCGGACGAGTGGGAGGTGCCCCGAGAGAAGATCGCCCTCCTCCGAGAGCTGGGGCAGGGCTCCTTCGGCATGGTGTACGAGGGCAACGCCAGGGACATCGTCAAGGGCGAGGCGGAGACCCGCGTGGCGGTGAAGACCGTCAACGAGTCGGCCAGCCTGCGGGAGCGGATCGAGTTCCTCAACGAGGCTTCCGTTATGAAGGGTTTCACCTGCCACCATGTGGTGAGTCCGGCCGGTGGGGATGGGCCCTTCCTCTGCCCCGGCGTCTCCCGCTGCACAGTGGGTGCAGGACCCCACCCATCCCCCACGCCACAGGGCCTCCCGCCCATCCCCCACGCCACGGGGCCTCCCGCCCATCCCCCATGCCACGGGGCCTCCCGCCCATCCCCCACACCACAGAGCCTCCCGCCCATCCCCCACGCCACATGGCCTCCCGCCCATCCCCCACACCACAGAGCCTCCCGTCCGAAAGATGCATGTGTGGAGGATTACTCTCTTCTCCGACTCTGTCCTCTCCCATTTCACCTGGAACCAGACTCTACGGGCATGCTGCTGCTTTTCAGAATCTTCCAGTGCTTTCTGGAATCTTCCATTGCTTTCCCGACTCTTCCCTCTTTCTGGCTTTTGGTAACCCTGAACCACACAGGGATGTGCCCCACCCCGCCTGTCCTCGTTCCTGCCCCCTTCCTTGACACTAGCACAAGCACTTCCTGCCTCTCTGCTCCAACAAGGGTGTCTTGGTCTCTCTTTGGGCCTTTGCATACCTTCATCCCTTCCACGCAAGTTTATGGGGCACCTGCTCCTTTTCCCTGGGAGGCTGCAAATTCCTGCCCTCGTGGAGTTTCCAACACGGCAGATGCAGACAGACGCCCAACCCGATGTAGTAACTACTTCATACAATAGGGGGAAATGCTATGCATAGATGGGAAAAGGAGAGGAGAGGAGGGTTGACGGGAGCATTTGAGCAAAATCTTATACAGGATGGGAAGGACACGGGAGGGAACAGAGAATCAGGCAGAGGGAACAGCTGATGCGAAGGCCTGGGGGTAGGAACACGCGTCATGTGCTCAGGAACACCAAGGGGGCCCGGTTTTGGCTAGGCGTGTCGCCGCATGCGGCAGGCCTGTTTGCTCTCCCAGACTAGGGCTGGCCATGCTCCATCCAGGCACAGGGTGCTAAGTGACAAAGGCACCAGCCAGGGAGCCCTCTGTGAGCCGGAAGGGTTCCACGGACCCTCACCCAGGAACCCCCGTGTTGGCCCTGCAGGTCCGCCTCCTGGGGGTGGTGTCCAAGGGCCAGCCGACGCTGGTGGTGATGGAGTTGATGGCCCACGGCGACCTGAAGAGCTACCTCCGCTCTCTGAGGCCGGAGGCCGAGGTGAGCTGCCTCCGGGTACCTGGTGGGGCGCAGGCTTCCCAGCCGAGAGTCCCAGTGCAGCTGAACACGCCCCCCATGTTTCGACTTTAGAATAACCCGGGCCGCCCTCCCCCTACCCTGCAAGAGATGATTCAGATGGCGGCGGAGATCGCTGACGGGATGGCGTACCTGAACGCCAAGAAGTTCGTGCACCGGGACCTCGCAGCCAGAAACTGCATGGTCGCTCACGATTTCACTGTCAAAATCGGAGGTGGGTCTGGCCTTGTGCTATGGAACACACGACCCAGTTCCGACTTGATTTCGGAAAGGGGTTTTCTATAACGAGTAGCTACGTCCCTTCTGCTAGCCTCCAGGGGCAGGGTTTTGGATGAAGACCCTCCAACTGTAATTTAATTGCATTTGATGATAAACGCACCCACCCATTTGCTTGTTTAAAAAGTAGGGGTGTTACCTTGTCTGTGCTTAGCCACTGCAGTAGATGCTAGAATGCAACCCCGAATCAAACGCCACAGTTTTTCTGCACCCGAGGGCAGCTTGCTGTCTTTATCTGCGCTGTCCAGCACCGTATGGTCACCTGTGGCCATTTATATTTAAATTAATTTAAATTCAGTGAAAGTAAAAATTCAGTCCATCGGTTGCACCGGCCACATTGCAGGCATTCAGCAGCCACCTGAGCCTCGTGAGTACTGACCATATTGGACAGTGTGGATATAGACCGTGTCCACTGTCAGGGAAAGTTCCACCAGACAGTGCTACTCTGCATAAACAATCAAATAGTTAATACTTATCCAAGCAAGATAATGAAGTCTGGGCAAAGCGTACTGAAGGAAAAATAGAGTTCCATGATAGAGGGACTCCAGGGTGCAGAGGGCAGCTCAGGAGAGGTCTCTCTCTCTCTGCAAGGAGGCAGCATTTTTGCCAAGACTGTCACGATGGCCCGAGTGAGGTCATGCCGGGGGAGGGGACAGCACATGGAAAGGCCGTGAGGCTGGAAGGATGGCTGACGTGGTGCGAATAAAATGCACACAGAAAGGACCAGAGCAGTATAAGACGTAGGTTAAGGAGAGAGGCGGGACCCAGGCCCGGAAGGGCCTTGCACGTCATAGTAAGTCACCTTGACAACGTCTTACTGGGTTCAGCCACCACCCAGATGGGCACACACCTGGGGCAGGAGAGCATATACACACACATGGGGCAGGTGAGCACACACTTGGAACAGGTGAACACACACACACACCTAGGGCAGGTGAGAACATATCTGGGGCAGGTGAGCACACACACCTGGGCCAGGTGAGTGCACACTTACCTGGGCCAGGTAAGAACATACCTGGATCAGGTGAGCACATTACACACGCCCAGGCCAGGTAAGCACACACACCTGGGCCAGGTGAGAACGTACCTGGGGCAGGTGAGCACTACATACCTGGGCCAGGTGAGCTCACACATACTTGAAGTAAGTTAGAATATACCTGGGGCAGGTGGGCACATACATGCACCTGGGGCAGGTGAGAACATACCTAGGGCAGGTGAGCACATTACACACACCTGGGCCAGGTAAGCACACACATCTGGGCCAGGTGAGAACATAGCTGGGGCAGGTGAGCACATGTGGCAGGTGAGCACCTCTAAGGGCTCTGCGAGGGGCAGGGTGGTCAAGACGGCAGACCATAGGGCCACAGGCGGAAGGTTAAATGCATGTGAACTCTTTGTTGTCAGACTTTGGAATGACCAGAGACATCTACGAAACGGATTACTACCGGAAAGGGGGCAAGGGCCTGCTCCCCGTACGGTGGATGGCACCGGAGTCCCTGAAGGACGGGGTGTTTACCGCTTCTTCCGACATGTGGTGAGTTACTTGTGCGTGGACCGGTGGACAGATGCTGGGCTTGAATGCCAGATGACCCTGCTAATGTGACCAGCAAGAGGGAGCAAAGAAAGCCTGCCTTCTTCCTGGACTCTTTAACAAGGAAATGAAGACGATGTCCTGCCTCAGGGCCCTTGCACGGCTACCCTTACATTTCGACGGAGACCAATCTTAGAGGCATTTATGAACTGCAGTGTGAATTGTTTTATTAACTGAAGAGCCAGGTTCTGGCAAACCAAGAAGGGGTGTGTGTGTGTGCATGTGTGTGTGTCTGTGTGTTTGTGGCTTCTTTGTTACTACTTACAGTTGTCATCGGCAGGTCCTTTGGCGTGGTCCTTTGGGAAATCACCAGCTTGGCGGAGCAGCCTTACCAAGGCCTGTCTAACGAACAGGTGTTAAAATTCGTCATGGATGGGGGATATCTGGATCAACCTGAAAACTGTCCAGAGAGAGTGTAAGTGTGGAAAGGGTGTGCAGTGTGTGAGGCGTTCATTCAAAAGGCATTGCCCTGTGCTCACATGCTAGGGTTTGCCTTTCCTTTGTCTATGTGCACACTTGTGTTTGCATGTCATATGCCTACATATGTGTTTGTGTGTGCATAGCATATCTTTACATACATGCATGTTTGCATTTCCATATAGCATTGTTGCACGTACTCTTGTGTTTGCATATATGTCTACATGTGTGTGTTTGCATATCATGTGTCTACATGCCTGTGTGTTTGCATATCATGGTACTTACTGCATACACACTTGTGTTTACATATGATGTCTTTGCATGAACTTATGTTTGCACGTAATGCTTCTTAAATGCCTACTTGTGTTTGCAAATCACATCTTTACATGTGTGCTTGTATTGCATATCAGATCTTTGGAAGGTTGCATAAGAAACCTGGGAGAAGGGAACTGGGTACTTGGAGTGGAGAGAGACCTATGTTTAACTGTTTATTCTTTCATACACTTAAAATTTTGTCGGGTGCTTGTGTTACATGTCTCCTACCCTCAGAATATTTTTGTTTTAAATTTTTATTATAGAATCCAATGAACAACACATACACACTGCCATTAAACATTTGGGAAATGTTTAGCCTCACTAATGATCCAATAATAATAAATATAGGGTAAATAGAGAGAGTGCTATCTTCCCAAATTAGAATGGAAAGAAGGAAGGAAGGAAGGAAGGAAGGAAGGAAGGAAGGAAGGAAGGAAGGAAGGAAGGAAGGAAGGAAGGAAGGAAGGAAATAAAGAGAGTTTTAATAAGTAGCGCTAGCAGTGGCGTGGCAAGATAAACATTCAGATCATTCTTACCACCTTGCTGTGCCTGCTATTCAGAGCAATATTTAAAGTTGCAAAAAAAAAAAACAATTGAAATGATCTAAATATCCAACATATGAGAATTGCTAAGTAAACTGATAAATGAATATGATGTAGCAATTGACATTTCAAATGGTGCTTATGAAACTATTTTATAACTTGGTGGATAAGTTTATGTTAAAAAATTAAGTGGGAAAAGTGTGTATCTACTACATTTCCAAATGTATGCAGAAAGAAAAGACCAGAAATTATAGCTGAAGGACAGTTGTCTGTGAGGTGTATTTTCTCTATATGTTGGGGTGTTTTCTAACTTTCTACAGGAGCATTCATCACATATAAAGTCCTTTTTCAGTGTTTATTAAGAAAAATTTTTGCTGTCTTGAAAATTCAGAGAGGGAGGACATTTTAATGTTTTATCTCCCAAAGAATAAGACATCAATTTAGAAAATCTAGTGTGAAGAAATCTTTTATGAGCAAAAAGTATGAAGCAGAGTTACTTGGAAACTCTGAGCAAACTATTTCTAACCATCGCATCCTGAAGTTCCTTTCCTAGCCATGCCAGTTATCAGCTGGCTTTAGTTTCAGGACCAGGGAGATTAAGTAGGTGGTAGGGCATGAGATCGAAACCTTTTTCTGTAAAGAGAATACAGTAAAAATATTGTAAATCACATCAGCTTTGTGGGCCATGTGGCTTTCCATCGAAGCTACTCAACTCAAAGGCAACCACATACATTACACAAATGAATGGGTGTGGCCATGTGCTGATAAAACTTTATTTATAAAGACATTCAGGGGGCCGGATTTGGTCTGAGGGCTGGAGTTTGCCAACTCCTGCCCTAGAGAAAGTTAAAGCAGAGAAGGAAAGAGGTACAACTGAAAACACAAGCCCTCAGCTTCTGTTTGAGTGGTTTTGGCTGAGTAAGGTGGTCGCCTGGAGGGAGGGATGCAGGGCTGGGGGCTTGTGTGTTGCTAGACACCAGCGTGTCTCCTTCAGGCAGATACCATGTGGCCCACCAGGCAGGGACTCGTCCCACGACTAAGGCCCCTTCCACCATCCTCCAGAGAGTGCAGGCTGGATCTGCATATGGGGTGGCCACTCAGAGCTGGCTCCCAAAATCCAATCCACACCACTGCACCCACCAGACCCCACAGATCTCAACCCCGAACGGTCCTTAGATCTAGAAAAATTGCCAGGGCGTGGGGCACAGGGAAGCCTTTGCGAACAATCCCAGGGTGGGAATGAAACTTTTACAAAAATGCACCAAATCTCGGGGGATTATCAGAGACGTCTAAAATAATAAGCCACGCGCAGTGCTGTGCAGAAGGAGCCCTTCTCGACTTAGATTTGGGAAGAGACAGCCCTTTCCAAAACCAGCTTCCGGCACCCCTAGAATCGCTATTTCTGCCTTGACCGCTGCCCACGCCCGTGAGCACCTGTCGCCTGGGGCTGTGGGGAGGGGAGGAGAGGGGGCTGCGTGACTGGGGGCCCAGACTCATCACCCCCGTGTCCTTCTGTCCCCCCAGCACCGACCTGATGCGCATGTGTTGGCAGTTCAACCCCAAGATGCGACCGACCTTCTTGGAGATCGTCAACCTGCTCAAGGACGACCTGCACCCCAGCTTCCCAGAGGTGTCCTTCTTCCACAGCGAGGAGAACAAGGCCCCCGAGAGCGAGGAGCTGGAGATGGAGTTCGAGGACATGGAGAGTGTGCCCCTGGACCGGTCCTGTCAGAGGGAGGAGGCGGGGAGCCGGGAGGGAGGGTCCTCGCTGGGCCTCAAGCGGAACTACGAGGAGCACACCCCCTACACCCACATGAACGGGGGCAAGAAGAACGGGCGGATTCTGACCCTGCCTCGGTCCAATCCCTCCTAACGGTGCCGCCCGGGCTGGGGAAGGGGTTCTCTGCGCCCGCTTTCCTCCGGGCCGAACGCCTCCAGAAAACTCAGGTCTCTCACGGCTCTACCACGACGTCGAACGGAGCTCGGAGATGGTTCCTACGCACTTCTGCTCCCTTGGGACTCCAGGACACGCTGGTCACCGGTCGGAGGATTTAACTGTGAACCCAGAGGGGGCGTGTTTCCACGGCTGCTGCTCTTTGGGCAATGACAGTTTCAAACCAGGATGTCTTCTGTCTCTTTTTTCTCTTCTTTTTCTAGTAGATCGAAAGAAAGCACCTGTTTTTACAAAGATTTTTTTTTTTTT